ATAGTTATAACTTATAAGTTACAAAAAAAATGTTTGCCGGGGGGACAAGTTAATTTTTTCGAACGTTCAAAATTAGACACTGGATATTTACCAGTAAATTAACTAATTATCTAATTGTCTTGTCATTCAAAAGCTATTATAACTGTAGGTTATTGAATTTTCATCAATGCTTATTTTAACATTTTCTATTCAAATTAAAAATAAGATTTTGACTAATTTTGAGATATTTATAGACATTTGAAATATTCAATTATTGTTAGTTTTTATTCTTTAATGTCAATAAAATTGTTATTTCTTAGCTCAAAAAGCTTGAAAATACAAAGGTTCTTTACAAAGGTCTATACAAAGGTTTACAAGGTTCTTCATGAGTTTATATCAAAGCAGTAAATAAATATAAAAGCTCCAAAGGTACGATGAATTTATTTTATAAATATTTAAAATGTTATAAAATTTACMAAAATCTTAACAATTTTCAAATTATTTTGTAATTAAGAAATTATAAAGTTTTTYWAATTTTTATTTAAGAATTGAAAATTKAAAATAATGATTCTCATAAAAAGTTTATACTATAATCAAAAAAATCTAAAAACATACTCGTATATTCACAATACCTAATCCTATTCTTACTTTTTACATTTGTAATAGGTAAATTAATTYTAAAATTAAACGTATAACAGAATTAAATTAATTATTCAAAACATATACATTTGCTATGTTTCGTGTTTGTAAAACGGAAACAACACATACTATTATGATGGRTATATATCACAAAAGTTTACTTTACAATAATTATAAACGTTATTATTTGTTGGGGGCAGGATGAGAGTTAGGGTCTAATGTTAAATTTGCATTTATTATAAATAAGATAGTATACAATTAATATTAATAAATAATATTAATTTTCAARGCCAATATGTTCGAGATAATATGGGATATAATGCTAGGATGCTAGATTTTTCACCAAGACAATAATAATTTGAAAGAAAATTACACAAAACTTATATAAATAAAAAAATCCATTTTATTTTGATGAAACAAATATAAAATGGCATGAATTATTTCGTCTTACATTTATTTGTTTAATATTACCTACATTATAATATTTCGTTCCATTTAACGATATTCTACATATTTTGCTAACCATCATGTTTTATTTGGTCATTTTGTATTTTATTACGTTTAAAAAGTGCAGTCATTTTTTTCATGTATAACGCATAAAGGTCAAAGAGGTGAACGTTATTATAATGTTTGCAAGCTCAAATTTTTAGCTTTTATCAACCTAACAAGGAAATTGTTTAATCTATTTTTAAATGTAACTTTTGCCTTTTGCGTATCATGCATACCAATCCAGTCCAATTAAATCTTATCAGAGCCGATAACAAAGTTCAGCAAACGTCAGATCAACAAGTAGTTAAAACCGAGAGACGWGGGAACGTGACCGCTGGCCGGTAGCTTCTAGTAGTGACTTGTATGCGCGCGCGAACACGACGTGTGTTCCATGTKTCATAGTCAGACACTTAGTTTATTGTTTATTGTGCGTCCGGATAAAAATTAATAATAATACAAATTATACGAAATTCGCTTTGTAATRCATACACGCATTATTATACTCCTCATCTGTATAAAAGTATAGTGTGCAATGCCAACTCATCATAATCGGAATCGTAATATATAAATTGTCATTCGTTTTCGGTCCGTTATCTCAGACTTTGGCAATAGAAGATTTTTGGATTCTGCCCCTTACTCAACGCGGTTTTTCCGGGAACGTGCGCCTCACTGTGATATTCTGAACTGATCGGGACCGCTCCACTTAGAACACGCGTGAGCGGCGATTGYGATCCAACGTACTTCAGACATGGCTAAAGTGACGTCGCGTTCAACTCACGTCTTTATCGCCACTGCAGCTGTTCTCTGGCTGGCGGCCGCGGGATACGGTCAAGACGAAGGTGGGTTCAAAAACTTTTTAAAATAACAACATTATATATTGTATAACTGTTGATATTTATAAATTGTTATAAATGAAATACGCTGAGAGGATGTGAGCGCAATCATTGTTTTCTACATCTGACCCATGTGCAAATGAGCAACATATACCAAATTTGTGTTCAGTAGAACCGAACTTTTATAGTTATAAAATATGTAGTGAGAAATTAWATATTATTAACGTAAAATTTTGATAGAGTTTACTTTAATACAACCATTGGGAAATCAAAAAAAAAAGCGACAAGTGGGTATCGCTCTGCTGTACATTAGGGGATGGGGTGTGGACCTCTGACAATGGTAGTTTAAATTT